CACACACACACACACACACACACACACACACACACACACAGACTGTGCCAAACAAATCATACTGCAATAATCTTTATAGAAAAGGACAAGTTCAACCGACGTTGTTACATTTTGGAACCTTGTCGATGTTCCTGTAGCACCGTCGTAAGTCACTATTTGAAACTCTATCTCTTCAATTGGTGCACACTGTTCGACAACCGCGTTGATCTACTAACTTCGATATTGTTTCCAACTTAGTTATTTGTCCCCTTTATCTATGGCGCCAGCGTGATCTAAGAGACGATGACAAGACATTGTTCGTCAAAGCGTGGCCAGGTTTGCGGAGGTTGCGTCAAGACCACTGTGATCAGAAATTCTGAATGTGTTAACAGACGGGCAATGTGGCAGCAGTTCCAAACGGAATCGTTTGAGATTCTGTCACACCAATTTACTTACAAGATATATATGAGACATCAATGATAAAGTATCACTGATCGTCTGTCATCCTTAGCTCTAAATGACCAGGTTTCACACTTATATAGTAGTGATGGGTGAACTCTAGTAGAAAGCATACGGAGCTCGGTTCTTTTACTAGTTTAGTTCCCGTGACAGAGGGTGCACTTTTAATCTGTTAACACCCTTTTCCGGTTGTGTCAATATGCCGCTTGACATCATCCGATTATTCTCCGTTGTGTAAGATAGTGGACCCAAGATAACTGAAGTCAAAAACAATTTCTATCGTTCGGCTATGCTGTTTTAAGGCTCATCCTGAACGACCAGCAGGCACCGTAAACATTTGATTTTAGCAGTGTTGATGTTCAGGCCAATCTCCAAAGCGTATCCATTGATGCAAGGCGGTCATGTATTCCCTGAACACTACTAGGTCATTGTTGAATTCAAGGTCGGTGATGCAACAGTATATTCAGACTCGGAGGCCTTGATAGCTTTACATCGTCTGACGTAATTGACAGGGAAGATAAACAGCCCTGGAGGTAGCGGATATCCTTGTCATACTCTTGACCTCAGTTCAAAAGGATGGAACTCCGACGTAGGCACGGAAACGCGCTTGATAGTATCTTATCGGATTAATAAACTTGACAGGGAGGCTATCTTCAAGCATCATCTTCCATAATGACTCAAGGCCCTTAATGAGTCAAATGCAGCACGAAAGTTGATGAAGCATGCAGCAATGGTGCACTGGAACTTGTGGATTTCTCCGAAAAACGAATGTCTGTTGCATCCTTTACCGGAATGGTTGGGTGGAGTGCATGTGTCTCGCTGTGATGAAGCGATTCAGCACGATTTGGGTGAAGGAATTGCAGCTACGTCTAGCAGTCTAATACCTCGGTAGTTTGTACGTCGTCCTGACGCCTTTCGAGGGCAACTTGGGAATAATTTCTGTGGTCTCAAGAATCCTGTAGTTTTGGTGCTTAATTTATCCAGCAGGTTTTAGTACCGTTGCTTATAACTTGACCCACAACATTTCGAATTCATCCGTCACGTGGATGTGTGGAGTTGATGCGTCATTCGTTAGCCTCATTGAAATCTCTTTAATTGATGTCTACAAGTTTGCACTGCATTCTAACGGAACCACACTGACGCGCTTCTGATGTGCTGTCTTCAAACGAAGACGAAGTTTCACATACACAAGCATGTGTACTGATCCATCCCTTTTTGCCCGCTTAAGATCCCCGATGCGATCTGAAATTTTCCAGAGAAGAAATTAAGCTTGGCCAGATAGGCACGCAGTCGATTTGCTGCCTTGTCCAACCGTAGTTGGAGTACCATGCAAGATGCTTTCAGGGGTGTTGTAATCGAGTGCTGGTTACGCACAGCCCGTTGAAGTTGATTAACCAATCGCCGTTCTCACAATGATGATTCATCCCAAAATCAGGGAACAACAAACACGATTTCGACCGGGTCTAGGGCGTACTGACCAAACATTCACGTCGCACTAGGTCCTCGAGTTGCGTCATACCCATCGTGAACCAACGATAGCAGAATCTCCAGAGCAAAAAGGAGCCTTCTATTCAGTTGACCGTGAAGCTCTAATGAGTTCACCTCCTAGAAAAGGAATGCTCCATAAGTGCATTAACCGATTCAGGTCACTGTACTCGTTTACCCCTGGGAGTGTACGGGTTTCTGATGAACTAAGCGTATCGTTCGAAACCAGCAACGGTGTCTGTTAGGAATACCCCATTTCATCATTCTTATTCAAAGATGTCGTAGAGCAAATGGAGAACGCACTACGTGACTTGAAAACTTTCGGCATTGAATGTGCAGCCGGAGAAGAGCTGTGCGACTTAGATTACGGCGAAGACATGATCTGTTTGAACCAAAGCGCACTTGACAGACTGACAGGTTATGTTAACTCGTGCGGAATGCATTCTGCAACTTCACAGCGCACACTGCGGCTGCACAACTGCGTACAGTCCACCTCTGAACTGATGCTTGTTGATCCAGAATAAAATATAGGAGAGTGGATTTTCTACTTAATGATATAGTTATATGACCAATGATGGTAGCGTAATAAAGGAGGCAACAATGCACATTTCCAAAGCTCGAGCTGTGTAAACTGGACTGAAGCATCTTGCCATCGATATGACGCTTCCTTGAAATCTAAAGGTCGCATACATTGTGCAAGTACACGAGCAGTTTTGCACTACGGTTTCGAGATCACTGGCTTTATAATGAAAGGTATTCATCGCCTAAGAGAAATTCGAATGTTGATGTTCACATATGTTGGCGCAGGTAGCACGGATTGAGTGAAATAACCACACCAATGTATACTGTCGTGTAGTCGAAGATGGTGTAGAGAGAAATTCGTAATCACATGGAATTCAGATAATCAGGTTTCGCTGGTTAGGACACGTATTGAGCATACCCGACAGCACCTCATTTGCAGTTACCGCAGCGGAATGACGGAAATCATATGAAGATCAACACCATCCAAATGCGAAATGCTTGTTCGACACTGGCAGAAGCCCGTGTCTGCACTGTGATGATCAGGGGAAGTGACTGAGAGATTCAATTATCTCGGGAGCTTGGTCGCACCTGGTGGTGGTGGCGGGGAGATCACATCACGAATAGCGAATCCTAGAGCAGATTTTTCCAACCTGCGACACATGACATCCGACTGTCCCTTAAAGGAAGGGTGCATATCGCCGTGATTCGTAGTTTGCTGCTCATCCGCTTTCTGTACTCGACCACCGATGACTTCGAAGAGTTGCTCGTGTCTGTTGAAATCCCGAGTCCCATAAAAGCGATAAACTAACAAACAGACAAATATGGAAAAGTGTACCGTTATCTTCTTACTTTTAATCCACTGCAGCTGTTTAATCTCCATTTCACTCTGCTTCATACCTCAAACCGAATATATACAAACATATATATATATACCTTGCAATATTTGATTTATTTTGCTAGTCGCTATTTACGTTCAGCTCCCACAACCCTTATACAGCATCCGATTCTAATTGCGAAATTAGAAGCCATTAAATCGATTTTCCGATTATTCTCATGAAAGTGATTTACCGCAGTTACTGCTCCACCCGTAATTATTGTCTGGTCGCTTCCTTCGCAATAGTCGTTTATTCAAAAAGAAAGAAGATAGTCAGTTTGTTTCCTCTCACACACACAGATGCACACTTACGGAGCGCATTTAGATAGAGCTGATGGGCGTCAAAAAACTCCTGTTTTTCTCCCAGTCTAAGAGGGAGTCGAACAAATCCAAACAGTAGCAATGACCGTTTCATTCATTAACGGAACGCATGGGAATACAAGTGTGCGTGGGTTATGACATTCGGGATAGTATGGGCATGATGAAACAAAGTCACAAGGCAACAGTGCTGATGGAATAACAAAACGTCTTCATGTAGAAACGATCAAAAGCCGGATGGCGGAATCAGTGCACTGGCGTCATCTTTTACACGCCAATGGACGCACGTTTAACGGCCGGCAGATCATCATCATCGTAGCCATGATTATCCAAATCGGCTTGATCGGCTTTTCGACGTCGATNCACGTGGTGCAAACAGAACAGTGTGTCGTTGCACTAGCGGATTGGCCACAAGACAGCCGGGTTCCGGAGTAGCGACCGGAGTGAGATGGGCCCATGGGTCAGAAAGACTTCGTGTAATTGGATCACCTCGCGACCATCGTTGTTCCGAAGCGTAGGCTCCATTTCGTCCTCGATTCGGGGTGCGGTTGGATCGGGCCGACTCGAAGCTAGTCGAGTGAGAATCAATTTCTGTTAGTCCCTGCCCAGTCACGTAGTTCGACTGAGAAGAGTCATGATGATAGCTCGAACGAGGTGTGCTCTGATAGCTTCCAGTAAACGAACCGGAATTTCGAGGCGATCCCGTGTAGAAATCAGGACTGTTGAATCTGGGTGGAAATGGACTACGAGTAGGTGACCATGGGAACTGCATACGGGCAGCGGGTGTGAACGGACTTGGATAAGATCCAGGGGGTGGGAATCGAGGACTACTGAACAGACGGGAATCCCCACGAGGTGAAAGGAATCGTGGATCGGTTGACATTCCAGGTGGTGGCCTACGAGTAGATAACGAAAAAATGGGAACAGTAAAATTAGAAGAATTAATGACACATCATGGGATTGAACCTCGCTCGTCATCGCTTGCCCCTATTCAGAGTCGAATTTCTCTTCATGCAATAGTTGGCGGGATGTTACTATACATACTATACATATTACACTGGGGTCTATGATTCGGTAGAAGCATAAGTGAACCGATGGTTAGAGACAGTGAGTGGTATGGCTGTGTCGTAAACAGTGGCGTTCGTGCATCTTCACAATTCCTTTGCAACATCAGACCAATGAAATTCTTCATTTTCTATTCAACCCTACTTTCCAATTTCCTTTCTCCCACTGTTCATCCAAGTGGGCAGCCAAAAGGCAGCAACCAAAACCGGCGCATGAAAGTGCGTGGTTAACGGTTTTTCAAAATGAAACTGAAACAGAACAGCAGGTTTTCTGTTCATAATACCGAATTTAATTGAAGAAATTGTTTACCTTTTATATTGCTTCTTCAGTTTGGATAACGTTAGGAGCCGCACAAATCCGGTTCTGCAGTAACATCTTACACTTAGAAGGTGCAAAACATACCGAACGTTATCACTGTCGCTGTCCTCGGAGGACAGGACTGTTTTCAAGTTCATTACAAAGTTGAATAGAAAAGGATAAAAGGTAACCCTGACAAACACAACTTTTCTTGGTGAAATCGGGTGTAAAAGTAGCTCTAACCTGAATTCGGCTTCGGCTATTGGTATACAGAGATCGTAATATGGCAAAACTTCTCTGACACACTCTTAAAGAGAGGTAGGGTCAGAGGAAAGAACGATAAACTAAGTCACGCCTCTGTCAGATCAAGAGGACTTCCAAGTGCAGATGAGCTTCTGTGTA